TGGAGTGCATAAGTAAAAAATAAAAATATGCAAATAAATGAAAATAACATAAAATGTGCAAACTGAATGAATAATGCAAATGGAGTAAATGTAATAAATTAAAATACAATACAAATATGCAAATCGAGTGAACAAGTAACAAAAAAGAAAATAAATGAAATGTAATAAATATGAAAATGGGTGCATAAAAATATGCAAATGGATTAAATGTAATTCAACTAAATTAAAATAGCAAATAGAGTAAATAATTAACAAAAAATGTATTTACTTAAAATATTAAATAAAAGTGCAAAAGTTTGTTTATTCTGTTTAATAAATTCATAATGACTGATTAACAAGTGCTGAATCATTCCAAAAATTGCATGCGTGTTTATCTGTATATACAGGGACAATCTCTACTGTAAAACTGATGCTTTTTCAACTCTAAAAAAGCTAAACGTTTTCTTTTAAGTAGCAGCCTTTGGGTTTGTGTTGACCTGTATTCTTTATCACTCAATTGTGCAAAAACAACACAAAGGCAGTCTGTGGTGTGTGATTGTGTATTCCTGCTTTCACTCGGACCCTGCAGTGTTCAGGAGAATCATGACTCGACTCCTTATGAAATAAAGAAGAGAACAAAGCGAATGAGAGGACAGACGCCCTTCAGCAAGCGCGCCGCATACTTTACATTCACTCATCATTCTCCATACAAATAATAACGGCACGCTAACAATCAGCTCCCGCTGCTCATTTCAGCTGCACCATAAAACACAATAACAACATCACACAGTGCTAAATCAATTATGCCAATGTTCAGATTTGTATTCCGCTCGTTCTCAGAAGCTGACACACACACACACACACACACAATAATGTCATGAAACACTAAACTATTAAAGATTAGTTTATGCATTGACCTGCAACATCATAACAACCACCCAGAATACTGAATACTGATTGAAAAAAAATGCATTTCATACAAATCCAAACAGTCATGTTTAACATCAACTCAAAAGCCATAGCATTGAAGCTGCATACGTATGTATATTGTATGTATACTTTCACACTTTATTTGCTCCTATTTTAGAACAATTGACGATTATCTAGTCAAAATAACAAAATGTGTATTACAGTGATGATTAAAAAGAACTGAAATCGGCTGCAAACTGTGTTTCTGTCGGCTGAATGAACATATCAGTGTTTTCTCACGTCACTATAGCTTTAAATATGAAACTTCGATGGCTAATGAACGCATAAATGAGACTAGCTGGACATAAACGAATGCAAATAGATGGTAACACTTGCAACATCAAATATTTGGGTCTGACTTGCGTGTGTTTCTGTCACTTTGGTTTAACCGCTTGAGGTGCTGCTAATGTTCGCATCCTTTCAGCCTCACGGTAAACATTCTGCTGCTGTTTCTCTATAATGCAGCATCTAGTCCACAAATTAACTACTTAAAGGAGTAGTTCACTTCCAGAATGAAAAATGTCCTGATCATTTACTCTCCCCCGTGTACTCCAAGATGTTCATGTCTTTCTGTTAACTAGGGCTGTCAAAACAGCTGAAAAACTAAATTCGAATTTTGTACTTAAATATTATCAAAACTCGAATTATATCCGAATGCATAATTTCAGTTAGGGTGAAGAAAAGCTTTTGGCTTCTCTCCTGAGGCCACAAGAGGGCGCATCATTCAAAAAGTGCATAATGTTTAAAATAATGTTTATAAACCAATTATAATCAAGTTGCTTAAACAACTATAAACAAAACAGCATCATGTATGTATGCATAGTTTAATACAAAGGGCGGAAAGCCAATCACACAGAGTACATTTTTCATTTAAAAACATGAGATGCAGTGGGATGGGGGGGAAAAAAACCATAAAGTCTCTATATATGTTTTTTTCAAAGTTGAACTTGCATTAATTTTACATGGCTTTCTAAACATGCGGCTCTTTTGTGAATGGCTTGGTTTCGGTTTTGATGTAAACAAGATCTTCTCTGCATTGATGTTCTCTTTTTCCGCTATATTTTTAATGAACAACGCAGCAGCGCCGCATCTAGTGGCTTCAAATGGATAGACTAACAAAAACATTATAATGCAA